GTGCCCACCGGCTCGCCACCCACCGCCCCTGCGCGCCCGCCAGGCACCGCTGCGGACGCTGGCAGACCTGCTGAGTGCCTGCCGGGACTCCCCACGCCGCCGGCTGCCCGCCAAGGCCAGAAACTTCCGTCTGCGCCCACCACCGCGTCACCACCCGCTGCCCACAAAGCCTGCAATAGCCCAGGTCCTCCTCCCTTCGGAGGCGACAGCAGCACGGACCTCTCGGTTCACGCCGTCCCCTTTGCACTGGGGCAGCAGGGCTGGGAGAGGGTCTGAAAACACACGGGGAATGTCAGTTAACCCGTTGCTGATGGCAGCATTTGAACCCAAAGTGCTGGAAGCAGTGGTGTGATGGGGACAGGCCCCAAGTCCAGCGTTAGGCCCCTTCTGTTTCTTCTGACCCTCCCGATATAATGTTTCGTTATTTGAAGGCACCTATTCTGCTTTAACCATAAACAGAGTGGGGAAGAAGGCGGCCATGGTCTTGACTTAGCAAGCACTGGGCCCACTGTATCACTTGGGAGGGGCTGTTACTTTTCACTGGGAGAAAAAAGAGAAGAAAGGGTAAGAATTTTTCGTATTGCCTCTTCCCTGAATCCTAATCAGGAATTTTCAGGGCTAAATCGAAGTCTTTCTGTGGCCTTTAACTGGAAGTGACAGTCTCCTCTACCGTCTCCTTGTAACCAGCTGACGGTCTCCATGACTTACATCTTTAAAAAACAGAACCCCTGAGGAGGAAAAGAAGGAACGGACCTAAGTAACTGGAAAACTGTGTTTTGACTGGAAACTATAGGCTAAACATGAACTGCACATAAACACTGTCGTCTGGTTAGTACGTTTATTTCCCAAGGGGGGAACGGGTTAACAATCTGAAGCTGCTGTACACGTGCACTAGGGTGGAACAAATTAGTAACTGGCTGGCAGGTAGCGGGAGCCGGGGTTCTCTCTGTTGAGCAGAGGAGTTGGAGATAAGCAAGGGGGAGGCTACAATGATCCCTGTGGTCCTGCACTGGAGTCAGAGACACCAGTGTGAACTCATGTTTAGCTTAATATGTATATTAATAGACATAAAATGTCAGTTTTGACATACATATAGCACCTACTTCAGTCCCCTGGGAGGCCCAGAAGCAATGACACCCAGCAGCAATGAGCACACCTAGCTCCCAGATCTTGGTTTCTAAATACCACTCTCCAACAAAAGGAACCAGGGCTCCTTGGAGACGTGACTGATTCCAGGACTGGGCGGGGGAGATAGAAGATGAGCTTGAGGCAGCTTGTAGTACCGGAAGGTAAGGAAGTGCTCAAAAAAGCAAAAGGATGGCAGCATGTGCAAAGGACACGGAAGCCAACCTGAAGGAACCCCCAATGGCCAAAACTGCAAAAGTTTGAGGAACAAAATAAATAATGAGTTATTGGATTATAACCTAAGTATACAATAAACAGACGTGAGTCTATACTGATATACATAATTGACTAAATAGAGAGAAGACACGTCTTCCTTACAGAAGAATTCCAGATAATATATGGAGATACTCCCCCTACAGGAGGTAGAACTAAATCTCCCTGCCCCTGTGAGGGTGGCTAGACTTAGTGACCACAGTAGGGAAAGCAGAAAGATAAGCTTTACGTGGAGAGAACTGGTAAACACTGCCTTACCCAAGTGATAATGTCACCAAAGATGCCATGTGAGTATCCCCCAACATGTACCCCCCAACATGAAGTGATGAGAAGGGCGCTTCACCCCGTGTGGTATTCTTTCCCAAAGCTCAAAACCCCAGTTCAAGCATGAGGGAAAAAATATCAGAAACCCAGTTGGAGGACATGCTATCACATTCCACAGTATTTTTCAAGACTGCCAAGGTCATGAGAAAAAGGGAACAGCTTAGAAACCATCACAGGCCAGAGGAGACTGGGGAGACAGGACAACTAAATGCAGTGTGGTGCCCTGGACTGGATTCTGGAATAGGAAGATGACATTGGTGGGAAAACTGGTGGAATCCAAATAAAGTCTGGAGTTTAACTAATAGTAGTGTCCCAGTGTCAGTATCTTTGCTGTGACAAAGGTATGATAGTAATGTAAGATGCTAACAGTAAGGGAAACTGGTGAAGGGTATATGGGAACTCTGTGTGCTATCTTTGAAACTTTTTGGTAAATCTAAAATTATTCCAAATTAAAAGTTTATTAAAAATGTTAAACATACACCTTCCATAGGATCCAGCTGTCCCGCTCCTAGGTGTAACCCAAGAGAAATGAAAGCAGATGTCCACAGAAAGACTTGTACACAGTGTTCATAGCAGGTTTATTTATAATAACCCAATCCTGGAAATGACACAAATGTCCATTAACAAATAAATAGATAAAAAAACTTTTGCACAGCTATACAATGGAATACTATTTAGCAATAACAAGAAACAAACTACTGATATATACTACAACATGGATGAACTTTAAGTATACTGAGTGAAAAAAGCCAGACAAAAAGAGTACATACTGTATAATTCAATTTATATAAAATTCTAGAAAATGCAAACTATAGTGACAGAAAGCAGATCAGTGGTTGCCTAGAGATGGGAGGAAGGGCAGGAGGGATTACAAAGAGACATGAGTGATGGATATGTTTTTTACCTTGATGGTGGTGATGGTTTCATGGGCATATACATGTGTTAAAACTTGTCAAATTGTATGGTTTAAATAAGTATAATTTACTGTATGTCAGTTATACTTCAGCAAAATTAAAAAAAAATAGAGCCCCTCAGTTTAATTCTGGCTCCCCATTTCCTAGCTGCTGCGTGACCTAGGGCAAATTGCTTCATCTCTTTGAGCTTCACTCTCTTCGTCTAAAATGATAATAAAGAGTGAGAAGAGGCACTTCCTGTTATGGCAGTGTCACGAGGTGGTCGATTCCTCTCTGCAAGAACAAACAGAAAACTGGGGGAATGGTCACGAACACCCACATCGGGACGCTGTCAACCCACCAAAGGCCGCCAAGAATGTGAGAAGCGCCGGTTGTGAAAGACCGCTGGAGCGTGAGTAGGAGCAGCAGGATTCTGCGGCCTATTGACTGCGGCCACTCCCATTCCTTCACTCCTCAGCTTGGTTGGCAAAAGTGATAGTCTTACCAATGTGGACTGGCTGCAAAAACCTACAGCTTTGATGGCTGAAACTGGTGGGTTCAGTTGGGAATGAATGAGGAAAACCAGCCTTACTAGCCCGAGCTTCCAGTCCAAGTTGGGGTGAGCAGCAGATCAGCCATAAATGTGACGGAGGGATTCTGGATGTGAGAAAACCATAGAAGAGATGAAGTATGCCCTCCACACATCTCGGGCTAACTGGGGAGCTACGCATGAAGGGAAGAGACCCAGGAGAGCCCAAGAAAGAGTGAAAGCCAAGGAAGGCTTGAAAAGGTTCCCCAGCTCACAAACAGATTGGTCAGCGGAGGGTGGGAGTCCTACAGGCTCAAAGGTTTTGGTTACAACCTCTGCCCAAATCATTGGCTGATTATTACATTAGGAAGACACAGGGGTGACCCCTAAGAATAAATAAAAACAAGAATTTTTTAAAAAACTGAGCAGACACACCAGTGGCTGCACACTGCAGAATAGATTCTTCAGTTTAAGTCCAGGCAAGTTTCCAAAGACCAACAGGCTCAGAAAAATAAAATAGAATCCAGAGTTGCTACACTCGCTTATCTAAAATGTCCAGTTTTCAACCAAAGTTTACTAGACATGCAAAGAAACAGGAAAGTGTGACCCAGATACAGAGAAAGCAGCAGCCAATAGAAACTGACTTTGAGTGGACCCAGATGTTGGATTTAATAGAAAAAGACTTCAAAGCAACTCTTATAAATATGTTCAAAAAATTAAAGGAAAATATAATGACATTGAATCCACAGAGACTCTCAATAGAGAAATAGAAATTATTTTTAAAGGTCTATGCAAACTGTCAATGTAGGTTCATCAGTTGCAACAAATGTACCACTCTGGCAGGGGATGTTGATAATGGAAGAGGCTATGCATGTGTTGGGGTGAGTGGTATATGGGAAATCTCTGTACTTTCCCCTCAATTTTGCTGTGAACCCAAAACTGCTCTAAAAAATAAAGTCTTGGGGCCGGCCTGGTGGTGCAAGCGGTTAAGTGCACATGCTTCACTGCAGCGGCCCGGGGTTCACAGGCTCGGATCCCGGGCGCGCACCGACGCACCACTTGT